GCACCTTTTTTTTTTATGGATTGATTGATTGATTAGTGGGGAGGGGTCGCCCCCCCCACCCGATCACACACACATAAACACACACACACACACACACACACACACACACACAAACACACACAAACACACACACACACTTGCTCGGGGTTTGAAAGCCCATTTTCTCGATCACACACACACACACACACACACACACACACACACACACACACACATACACACACACACACACACACTTTTGCACGGGGTTTGAAAACCCATTTTTTCGTTGTTGTTTTTTTTTTATTGAATGGTTGATTGATTGATTGGTGGGGGAGAGGTCGCCCCCCCCACCCGCACCCGATCACACACACACACACACACACACACACATACTTGCGCCGGGTTTCGAAGCATTTTTTTTTTTTTTTTCCTTTTTTTCTTTTTTTTTACGCAATAGAAAACAACAATACCCCCCCCCAAAAATATGGGCGTGTAGGGTTTTTTGAGCCGTACATGCTTATATATATATATATATTTTTTTTTTTCATGAGTTAAAAAACTAATGAAAAATGTTGCACCAAGCTTGGCTGGTCGGCCGTGGCCGCGGCCGATTTTTCGGCCCCGGCCGTGACCGGGCGTGCAACATAGGTTGAGACTGTCCTAGTCGACCGGCGTACACTTTGTACTTGGGAGATCAACGCCCAGGGAACGAACGACGTTCGGGTTTACTCGGCGTTAACCAAGCATTTCCTATACTGCAGCGAGACGAGCAAACGCCCTCGATTGATCTAGCTCTGCGAATGCATTTAAAAGCTTTCGCATGTGGGTCAGTAGCTCGGTTGGGATATGCCCCTAAGGGTGGTGACAGCCCCTTAGGGAAGCAAGGTTATGCCCCGCGGGAACCTGTCCTGTCGTAGGGGACCGCAGGAAGTATAGCTGGCGCACCCGACTAAAGCGGCGAATGAGCGATGCAACCGCGTCCGTCTCAGCGGTTCGCGGAATGTTATGCATCGTTCCCAAGTTGTCTCCTGACAGTTTGTTTATGATTTTACTCCTGCGTGACATGGCCGGGAGGGCCCTCGTTCGTGCGAGGGACGATGCGCTCGACACCGCAACGTCGATGAGCTGAAGTGGCAAAACTGGAGTGGATGGAGTATTGAGAAGTCAAACACATGGGAAGATAAGTCATAGTCAATCGTCGTATCGAGCAGGACGACGATGAATGTGTTGTGGACGCTCAGAAGCATCCGACTGTTGTTGAAGATCTGCCTCAGAAGGAGTAGGCTCGACTTCAGCGGTCTCCTCAGCCGAGGGAGAAGGAGGGTCAGTAGGCTGAGGAGGAGCAGTCAGCCCATCACGATGAGCACGGTCATAGGCACGCACCAACATGCGAGCGTGCTGCAAGCGCTCGAGGGGCTCCCAGATAGCCTCCTCATCAGGGTAACCCTTCCAACGTACGAGATACTCGACGTGAGGAGGATTGTCGTCGGTGACTCGATGACCAATGATGTCTGAAACGAGGAACTCCTCGTGGCCGTCCACCACGATGGGTGGAGGGCGCCCGTATGGTCGTCCTGCGAAACGCTCAGACGGTCTGCGATAGGGACGCAGTAACGAGATGTGGTAGATATTGTGCACACGAGCTTGGCGTAGGTAGTCGGGCAGCTTCACACGGAAGCTGACAGGGCTAGAAGCCGTATAAAAACTGACAGCCTGGAGAATGCGCCATGGTCTAAAGAAGAGACGCCGAAACTTGCGAAGCGTGTCCTCTTCGAGTTGTAAGTGGCGGACGTCGATAAGCACATCATCACCAACTTTGAATGAATGATCCATCCTTGATTGGTTCGCACGTGCGGCCATGCGAGTTTGGGAAGCGGTTATGTGCTCATGCATGGTCTTCATGATCGACGTCATATGTGCAATGGCGGGCTACGGAGGCTTCAGCCTCTTGTACAAAAGACAACCCAAAACAGCTATACCGCTGCCCCACTTCAAGGTCATCACCCAGCAGCTATGCCGCTTCCCACTCAACCGCCATGCCTGACTCTGTCCGAGCTTCCTTGATGCGGCATTACCCCCACTGGGGCCTTCCTGATGCAGCGTCTAGCAAGGAGATGAAGATGGTGTCTACCATGGCCAGTAAGTACCTCGCCTCTCTCCTCCTTGGTCCCCTTCTCCCTCCTCCTCCTACCGGTAGGGCTCCACCATAGCCAAGGTGGAAGCTCCCGGCTTCTTCCTCCCACAGCGCTGTAGTGCCCAGCGCTACTCCAGCCAGCGTTCCGGCAGCGTGACGCTCAACTCGCACACTTAAGAATGAGGCTGGGCTCTCCGCCCTGCCTCTTGATATAGCGACCTACTTGCCTCCTGGGCGGTGACTTCCAGGCCGCTCGGCCTCTCCAAGCAACCGGTACTTCCTCCGTTTCGGAGGGAAACATAATTGCAAACCCTGATATTACCCGTACAGGCTCTAGACTCAGACTGGTTGGACTGGTACCGACGTAGACCTACCCTACCGCTACTGGACTCTAAAAATGCCAATTTTGTTTTTTTCTGCTCGGCCTCCAGTACCCCCTCACGCCAACTGCAGTGGGGTGCAGTATCGGTCTACCGGCCTACTTGAGTGTTTTTCCGCTACCCCAAGGGCCTCAGGGCCGCTAGCTTCCCCACTTTAGTGTTTTTTCCTGCTACAACCCTCAATGCCACGGCCACAGGTAAGTACCGGCCTTACGGGCCTACCAAACAAGCAAGTACCCTTGCGCGTCCCACACACACTCATACCAACAAGCACTCAGACAGGCATGCAGGTCACAAGCACGCACACACATACAGACTTAGAAAACACAGCGGAATGCGGGAATCTCAGCAAGGCATCCATTCCATCGGCAGAAGTTCAGAAATCAGCAGTGTTCTCAGTCTGTGTTTTGACGGGTCATTACAATTCTATTTTCGGTCGGTCTTCTTTTTTTTTCCTCCCTTCTTCTCTTTCATTTTTTCGTTTCTCTTTTATTTTTCCCTCCTTTTTTTTCTTATTTTCGGTTCTGTTTTTGACGTTTTTTTTTTTGTTTTTGGTGTTTTCGCGCAGGCGACGATAAAAGGAAAAGAGGCGGCTTCGACAAAGAAATGGGCGGTGTCGGAACTGGTGGGTCCCGAATAACATCTGGTCACTCGAGAAACGGTATATAACCAGATTGTGCACGGCAGAGAAATCTGGAGTAAGGAGGAAAGAGAGAGAAAAGACAAAGGATTAGGCCGCAGGAAGGGGTGATGCCCTGGGGTGAGAACCATAGGAGGAGAGAACCAGCGACGACAAGCAAGTAAGTGCAAGAACAGGGGCACATAGAACATAGCGTGAGGTCAGGAGGGCCGTTGGAATTCAACAAGACTAAGGCTGAGGGGCCATCGAACCGGCAAACACGACACAATAGTGACAAAAAAATGAGAAAGTCGAGAGATGAACGGGCCCGGAGGCCGTGAGAAGCTAGAAAATAAGGGCCAAACATGGGGGCCACCTACGGGAGCCTCGGGTTAGAGGCCTCACGGCCAAAGGAACCGGTGCGTGCAAGCCGCAAGAAAGACAAGGGAGAGCGGTCACCGGGGGCCGGCAAACGCCTAAGGAACGTGGGACACCTTGGGGAAAGGCACCCAGGGCTACGTGGGACTAAGTAAAAATAATAGCATCCGGGACAAAACGTGTCGGGGACCACCGGCGGGACTGAGTGTCGGGGACCACCGACGGGACTAAGTGTCGGGGACCACCGACGGAACTGTGCTGGAGACTACCGGCGAGACTAAGTGTCGGGGACCACCGGTGGGACTAAGTGTCGGGGACTGCCGGCGGGACTAAGTGTTAGGGACCACCGACAGAATGAGTGGCGGGGACATATGAAGGTCTCAAGAGGAAACGGCGACACTACATGAAGGAAAAATAATTACGGCAAGGTGCACCGTCAAGATCGAGATCTTGACGGCCAAGAATATTAGCACTACTAGTGCAAGCACTAGCGGTGGCAAGCGGGAAGGTCAAAAGGAAAAGAAAAAGCAAAGAAACATGGAGTGGGAGACATGGGAGCAATCTGAAAAATATCGGATCTGCCTCCCTGAAGAAAATTGAGTCAAAAGAGACCCCATGTGAAAAATAGGCCTTTGGGAGAAAATCAGAGTAGAGAGGGTTACTGTGGGAGAGAAATAGAGGTAGGAGGAATGTCACATGGGCATGAGAAGGCCATTATTGCAGTCCGAGATATAACGGACTGCACCTTGGGTATAGGAAGGGTCAAAACTAAGAGGAAGGGGCTAGAAAAGGGCCTTAACGGCCACTTGACACTTGACAGGCTAGAAAAACGAAAGAAAAGAAAAGAAAATGTGGGAGGATAAGACAAAAAGAGTGAGAGGGAGTGAGTGAGTTGGCCGTCAGTAGGGACTGCCACAAGTAGGGACTAGCATGTCCCTACTGTCCAAAAAAGGAGGAAAAAAAAAGAAAAAAAAAGAGAAAAAAAAAGAAAAGATAAAAATATCTTAACGTTAAAGAACGACCACTTGGGGAGATGCATCCGTGACCAGATTCATTCTGGAGTATGGCGGTGGCAAAGGACCTTAATTTTCCTTTAATTTTGCAGAGAAAATCAAAGAAAATCAAGGCCCTATGCAATCGAAACAAAACGGATTACATGGGGAAGGAAAAACACATGTTTTAGATGCATCCGGACCCAAAATTGAGTCCGGATGCATTTGGAAGTTGGCCGTTTTTTTTTCTTTCAAGTAAGGGTTAGCTGTGGGGCATTGGGGCTAGGGAATTGACCCCTATTGCAGTCCGAGTTGCAACGGACTGCATGGGGAAGGGAAAACACATGTTTTAGGTGCATCCGGAGCCAATATTGAACCCGAATGCACTTAGAAATAAAACGCTTCTTTTTCTTCTAGCATGGGGCAAGTTGTGGGGCTGTGGGACTAGTAAAATGACCATGATTGCAGTCCGAGAAATAACGGACTGCATGGGGATGCCTAGGCTAAGGAAAAATGAGCCACGGCAAGCCCGAAAGGCTAGAAAGGAGCAATTTCGGCATAAGGCAAGTGAACATGGTAAACGACAACCGTGAGATGAGATCTCACGGTCCAGAAAAATCGACACACATGTGGCACCTAAGGGAGAGATATTGGGACTGCCAAGGGCAAGAAGGTCCCAAAATAAAATAGGACACCGTCCGAGATGTTGTCGGGGACCAAGTGGGTCCGAATAATAAAAGTCGAAAAAAAGGACACTCGCCTGCAGGAGTACCGGTGGGACAAGAAAATGGAACTAGTACGGAGGAAAGTGGCGGGGACTTGAGATGTCCCAAGGGAACTATGGGCCAACACAAAAAATAATTGCGCAAGTAAACGGCACCGTCGAGATCGAGGATCTGGACGGTGAAAAATATTAGCACTATTACTGCAAACACCAGTGGGGGCAAGTGAGAGAGTCGTGAGAAGAAAATAAAGTAAAATAATGATGTTGGGAGGGCTGCCCAGCAGTTCGAGATATCTCGACTAGCTAGGCATGTGAAAATAGAGCCTCAAGAGGCTCAATATGAAAAAAAGGCTGCCCATAGAAAATCGAAGCAAAAGGAGCTCAAAATTGGATAAATGGACGCAAAATGGGGCCCCCTAGGCGAATGGGGGTGCCATTGTTGAAAACCGAGATATAGTGGTCAAATACCAACCATGAATCTGGCCATGAATGAGGCTCCAAGGCCTAGAAAGAGGGTGCACAGCTATTTGACACTTTGCACAACTGAAATAAAAGAAAAAGAAACAAGAATGAGAGAAAATGGAAGGAGAATGAGACAAAAGGGGAGAAAAGAGTGGAGGAGAATGTGCCGGCCTACTGGGACCTGCACAGTAGGGACTGACAGGTCCCAGCTGTGACCTCATCCCTCCTAGGATGAGGGAGAGCAATCCGGATTGCAGATATATGACCCTTGGGGCCATATCTCCATAAAATCTGAATTAAAAATAAGAAAATAAGGGAAAATGCAAAAAGGAGTTGACCGTTTTTTTTATGGACCATGGATCTGAGATCAGATCTCATGGTAGAGAGGAACTGGCCGTTTTTTGTGGGGCAGCTAAAAACGGCTAGCTCTGGAATGAGGTGGCAACCCAAAATGGAAAGAAACAAAACTGTGCATGTGGCCTAAAAAAAGAGTCAGATGCACCAAAAATTGAAAAAGTGGACTTAGGGGCTCAAATTTGAAGCAAGGGCTACTTGGGGGTGGCATGAAATATTGTTGGCCTTGGATCTCAGCCAGATCCAAGGCTGAAAATGCACCGCTGCATGGAAAGTATCTCGGCCTACCCAAAATGGTGTAGAAATTGAAAAAATCGAGAAAAAGGTCCGCTAGGCCTTTTTCTCTCATGTAAAGTTGCCCCTTGGGCATTAGGACCCAAGGGGGCAGCATTGTTGAAGTGAAAAAGAGGCCGAAGGAAGCCAAGAGGCAATCCGAGTTGGTATCAACCACTCGAACTGCATGTACTTGGCCAAAATGAGGCCCTGGTACCTCCGGAAGGGCCTAGTAGTGAAAATTTGCCTTGGGGGTACCTCGATTCATCTCAAGGCACATGGGGAGGCTCATTGACTGGAAGGACTGCTGGTTTCCGCCTACATAAGCTGGGAATTCAGTTCGCCACAGTCTCAATTGCATGAGGAGTGCCCATGCTGCCCAAGTGAGCTCATAGGA